CTTGACTAACAAACAGATTTCTTTTTGCTTTGCTAAGGGATTACTACAAAACAGGAAATGTATATAAAAAGCACCAAGACAACCAAGTATCAGTATGAATATCTTATATTACAAGAGTATTATTGAGCTACTTCCAGTGATGCTGTTAGGAAGCCAGGAGCAGTAATGATATACCCTTCTAACCGGTGTTGTACAATCCCAAATATAAAAGGCAACTCACCCGGGTCAGAAGGTGATCTACAATGACTGCAGGGCAGGGGCAGATGGGTAGAGATAAGGAAAAGGGGGATAAGGGCCAAGAGTGGTTCTTTAGGTCTTAGGGATCATAACGGATGGGAGAAGAACGAAGTTATTGGTTGCAAAGACGCTGAGATCTCGCTTGAAGGTGGGAAGTGGCTTCGAATTCGTAGATGGAGGAGGGAGAGTGGGAGGGGGAGCTTTGTGGGGGTTTTCATGCTTTGCCTAAAACATGGTGCTGAAGGGAAATTAGCAATCTTGGACGCAAAGTTTTGAAACTTATCCGGACAAAAACCCAGTCTCACAAACTTCGCATCCAAAAACGAGCAAACATTGTGCGGCTAAGTCGAGTTTTAGTATTAGTCCACTTAAAATCTACTGCCTACCTGACATATTTACACGTATGTTAACTTAATAGAATCACAGATCGTCAGATCAGTGATATCAAACCATCGTTACATCAGGCCCTGCTTCACCGCGAAACAGCTCCTGTGATTGGATTTGTAAAAAGCCAAAAAAGCTTACCTTTGTTAGCTGCTACAGCTTTTTCTCTGATACGCATGTACATGTTAAATACTTTTCGGTCGTCCTCATGTGTACATAGAAATGGATCATCCGTGTTATGCAGATAATTTTTATGCTGATCCAACTTCTGTAGTATGGCTACCAACAGTGTATCACATTTCCAGAGGACGTCCAGAATACGGCCGTTTTGCCACTCCATAATCACAAACAATTCCCGGAAGCAGGTCTGGATTGTAAAACCAACAGGCGACGCTGCAAAAATGCAATCAAAATGTGCTGAATGAAATAGTAGTGAGACGATCAACTGTTAAAATGATGATAGTTCGGAGGCTGCGCAGTATCGAGGATGGAAGTCGTCGAGGCTCTGCCCTGATGCACATCTTCTACGTGTGAAACAGAGTCACAATGTTCTGGCCTAGTGCATCTGTGCGCAAAATTTAACGTTGAATCTGTTACAACCGCAAGAAACGGTCATCTGCACCACCGATATGCAGCTCCGATGTTATCGAGATGCATTCTACACCGGAAACATTTATGTAACAGGTCTTTCTTGAATTACGTATATCCCCAGTTTCACATCTACCGCTGTTCTCCCTGTGCTACCGTCAATCATTTTGGGGGGCTGATTCTGA